GTTTAATCCTGGTTTAGTTGTAGAGTTTAATCCTGGTTTAGTCCTGATTTGGTCCTGGTTTAGTCCTGGTTTAATCCTGGTTTAGTTGTAGAGTTGAATCCTGTTTTAGATCTGGTTTAGTCCTGATTTGGTCCTGGTTTAGTCCTGGTTTAATCCTGGTTTAGTCCTAGAGTTTAATCCTGGTTTGGTCTTGTTTTGCTCCTTGTTTAGTCCAGCTTTAATCTAGAGTTTAGTCCTGGTTTTAGTCCTGGTTTAGTCCTGTTTTGGTCTTGTTTGGTCCTGATTCAGTCCTTGTTTACTGCTTATTCAGTCCACATTGTCCTGGTTCAGATCCTGGACTCTTTAGACCTGGTTTAGTCCTGGTTTAGTCCCAGTTTTGTCCAAGTTAATAAAATCCAAACACATGAGATTAAAGATGCTTTGGTTCATTTTTTCATTTGTCGTTTCAAATGAGAAAATCGTTTGTTAAAAAATAGTCCCTGAAGGTCCGTCCTGCAGAGACCGAGACCAGGACTGATCCAGGACAGATCCAGGACAGATCCAGGACTGATCCAGGACAGATCCAGGACAGATCCAGGACTGCGGGTTGATCAATAGTTTTTATTGATCGGTCACAAAAATACAGCAGGTGATAAATTTAAAGGAGAAGTGAGAGAGAAAATCACCGACAAACACTGAGTTAAACACGAAGACAGACCGGGATTATTCAGACCTGGTTTAGTCCTGGTTTAGACCTGGTTTAGACCTGGTTTAGACCTGGTTTAGTCCTGGTTTAGTCCTGGTTTAGTCCTGGTTTAGTCCTGGTTTAGTCCTGGTTTAGTCTCTGGTTTAGTCCTGGTTTAGACCTGGTTAGACCTTTGACTGTTTATTTAGCCCTGGTTCGGTTCTGGTTTAGTACCTTCCTTAGTCCTGGTTTAGTCCTGGTTTAGTCCTTGTTTAGTCTTAGTTTAGTTCTGGTTTAGTCCTGATTTCAGTCTCTGGTTTAGTCCTGGTTTAGACCTGATTCAGTCTCTGGTTTAGTTCTGGTTTAGTCCTGGTTTAGACCTGGTTTAGTCCTGGTTTAGTCCTTGGTTTATTTAGCCCTGGTTTAGGTTCTGGTTTAGTCCTGGTCCTTTTAGTCCTGGTTTAGTCCTGGTTTAGTCCTGTTTAGTCTTAGTTTAGTTCTGGTTTTAGTCCTGGTTTAGTCTCTGGTTTAGTCCTGGTTTAGTCCTGGTTTAGTCTCTGGTTTAGTCCTGGTTTAGTCCTGGTTTAGTCCTGGTTTAGTCTCTGGTTTAGTCCTGGTTTAGTCCCTGGTTTAGACCTGGTTTAGTCCTGGTTTAGTCCTGGTTTAGTCCTGGTTTAGACCTGGTTTAGTCCTGGTTTAGTCCTGGTTTAGTCCTGGTTTAGTCTGGTTTAGTCCTGGTTTAGTTCCTGGTTTAGTCCTGGTTTTAGTCCTGGTTTAGTCCTGGTTTAGTCTCTGGTTTAGTCCTGGTTTAGTCCTGGTTTAGTCCTGGTTTTAGTCCTGGTTTAGTCCTGGTTTAGTCCTGGTTTAGTCCTGGTTTAGACCTGGTTTAGTCCTGGTTTAGTCTCTGGTTTAGTCTGGTTTAGACCTGTTTAGTCCTGGTTTAGTCCTGGTTTAGACCTGGTTTAGTCCTGGTTTAGTCCTGGTTTAGTCCTGGTTTAGTCCTGGTTTAGTCCTGGTTTAGTCCTGGTTTAGTCCTGGTTTAGTTCTCTTTGGTTCGCACTCTTCCAGTTTGTTTATTTATTTTCCAAAAACACGACGTAATTTTATCACGTTCACTGAGACTTGGGAGACTCGTTTGGGACAGAACGATCCCAGAGTTAGTCCTGGTTTAGTCCTGGTTTAGTCCTGGTTCAGTCCTGGTTCAGTCCTGGTTTAGTCCTGGTTTAGTCCCGGTTTTAGAACGAACTCGTTGCCTTCGGGACTCAGCATCTTTTCGGGTCCGTGTCTCGTTCTGTGTCCCGTCAAATCACCGAAACCTCAGGTCCAAATTCACCGAAAATCGCGATTTAATCCCGATAAAACACGGTGAAGTAAAAACAGGTTTAGTCCCGTTGAATCTGTCAAAACACGGGACTAAACCAGGACTAAACCAGGACTAAACTGGACTAAATCAGGACTAGAATCATCAAGGGCTAAAGCAGAAATAAACCTGGTCTAAACAAGGTCTAAACCAGGTCTAAACCGGGTCTAAACCGGGTTTAAACCAGGTCTAAACCGGGTCTAAACCGGGTCAGAATCGCAGACTCACCTCCCCAGGCTCCTCGCGCTCTTACGTCCCCGTCTGCCTCCTCGCGCTCTGTACGTGCTTGTCTCGTGCACCTCAGACTCAGCACCGAGACGCACTCACGGACCCCGGGAAAAACCAGAACTAAACCAGGACTAGACCAGGATTAAACCAGGACTAAACCAGGACTAAACCAGGACTGAACAAGGACTAAACCAGGATTAAACCAGGACTAAACCAGGACTGAACCAGGACTAAACCAGGAGTGAACCAGAACTAAACCAGGTCTAAACCAGGTCTAAACCAGGTCTAAACCAGGACTAAACCAGAATTAAACCAGGACTAAACCAGGAGTGAACCAGGACTAAACCAGGACTAAAAGAGGACTAAACCAGGACTAAACCAAAACTAAACCAGGATTAAACCAGGACTAGACCAAGACTAAACCAGGACTGAACCAGGTCTAAACCAGGAATAAACCAAGACTAGACCAGGACTAGACCAGGACTAGACCAGGATTAAACCAGGACTAAACCAGGACTAACCCAGGATTAAACCAGGACTAAACCAGGACTGAACCAGAGACTGAACCAGGAATAAACCAGGACTAAAAGAGGACTAAACCACCAGATTTGAACCAGGACTAAACCAAAACTAAACCAGGATTAAACCAGAACTAGACCAAGACTAAACCAGGACTAAACCAGGACTGAACCAGGCCTAAACCAGAACTAAACAAGGACTAAACCAGGGACTAAACCTGGACTGAACCAGGACTAAACGAGGACTAAAGCGGGACTAAACCAGGTCTAAACCGGGACTAAACCAGGACTGAAACAGGACTAAACAAGGACTCAACGAGGACTAAACGAGGACTACACCAAAGACTGAACCAGGACTAAACCAGGACTAAACTAGGACTCAACCATGACTAAACCAGGACTACACCAGATCTGAACCAGGACTGAACTAGGATTAAACCCAATTTACTTTCAGTTTATCTCTACATAAAAACAGGAGGACGGGAGGGCATCTGACACAAATCAAACCTCTCAAATCCTGTTTATTTTAAAACTTTAATTTCTATATTTTAATATTTTGTGAATCGTTCTGAACCTCAGACGTTAAACGGGACCGAGGAGCCGTTACGTACGACTAAACGTCACAATACGGAACATTCTCTGACGCACGTGGTCCCTGAACGCGCCACGACGCTGCTGCTCCTCGTGCTCATCAATCAAGACGCGCGTGGGGCTCCGTCCACAGCGCTCCGTCTCCCTCTGCTGGACAAATGCGGTCACTACAACTGCATTTAATTAAAACGACCAAGCCGACGCGATTCTACGAAAATCTACGACTTTTTTCAACTTTTAAAAGTCTTGGCACCTTTCCGGAGATGGTTCGCTGTCATGAGATGTTATTGTTTGTCTGGAATGTTCCGCAGTGTGACTTTAAACAGCTTTACATTTTACATTTATTCAATCACAGGTGGTTTTAAAGCTCAAAAACACCAAGAAAAACAGACATAGTGACTGTGAGCGCGGTCACAATTCTTTCTATTCTGATCGTAATGATTCAAACTAAGATCTTGTCAAAACATTGTAAAAAGGAAAAAACTGCATTTCTACAACTCTTATATAAATAATCGCATATAAATATACCATGACTTTTTAAGTACAATTTAGTTTAAATTTCATATAGACTGAAAAAATCTAAGATGTAATTTGTGCTTTGGTTTAAAGACTTGAAATGACTTGAAGCTCAAAGCAGACGACTTGGACTTGACTTGGACTTATGGGCCAGTGACTCGAGACTTGACTTTGACTTGACTTGGACTTATGGGCCAGTGACTCGAGACTTGACTTGGACTTGCCTTTATTTGACTTGGGACTTGATTCGGACTTGAGGTCAAAGACTTCAGACTTACTTGAGACTTGGAAAACGGCAACTTGGCCCCGCCTCTGACTGTAGTACTTTTGAGTATCACAGTACTTCAGTTTCATCCAAAGTACCAAACAGAAGTGAGAGCAACATGTTCCAACTGGTTCCTGTAAAATTCAGCACCACATTTATCAGCTGAAAAGACAAAAGTATTTCCTAAAAATATATATATTTTTTTAGGAGAAGCATCAAGTCTTCTCAAGTCACAGGCCTCAAGTCCGAGCCGAGTCCCAAGTCTGAGTCTATTTTATAAAGTCAAGTCTAAAGTCCTAAAAATAGTGACTCAAGTCTGACTCCAGGCCAAGTCAAGACTTGCAAGTCCCCGCCTCTGGTCTAAAATATGAAAAAACCAAACAAAACAGCAAATAAATAAATAAATAAATAAATAAATAAATAATAAATAATAATATAATATAATAAATAATTAATAATATATAAACAATTAAAAATATTAAATAAAATTAAAATAAATTAAAAATAATTTTTAAATTTAAAAATAAAATAAAATGAATAAAAATTAAATAAAAATATAAAGAATAATTTAAAAAATACATAACTAAATAAATGAAAATATTTAAAATTACAAAATAAAATAAAAATGAATAACAAATTTAATTTAAAATAAAAGAATAAAAACACAATTAAAATATAAAAAAAAAATAAAAATGAAATGAAATGAAAAGTGGAAAAAAAATGTCCTCAGATCCCTGGTTCCTCCCCCCTCTACTCCGGAGCCTCCCCTCGGCCCGGGGCCCCTCCTCTGCCCCGGACCCTCCCCTCGGCCCCGGGCCCCTCCTTTGCTCCGTAGCCGCTGCACAAATGAATGAATTCCGCCAAACTTTTACCACTACACAAACTTGTGCCGGTGTCCAACGCGGGAATCCACGATTATAACACGAGTTACTCAGACAGTTGGAGGATTTTAACCACTTTAAACCCGCTTTACTCTGGAACACGAGGATCTGAGGACTTTGGACGCACTGAAACGCGTTTTACAGGGATTTTTTTCACGTGGAAATACGTGTTTTATCACGTTTCAAGGCGGATAACGTTGTGATTACGCATTGGGGTAAGATTAACTGCTGTTATTACAACATTTCTGTGATAAATCGTCAAAATCTGCGTTTAATCTTACTTTATATCACATGTTTAGGGGTTGGCTTCCAGCTCTAATCACGCTTCTACAATTATCTCAATGTTTGTGAGCTTTATTTCAGATTTATTTGTAAAAACGTAGTGACTTTTACGGATAGAAACAATCTGCAGTGTTCAGAAGCTGGTTTTTTTGTTTATCTGTGGTTATTTTGAGCAAAACATGAGCTGGATTTTAAGATTTCAGACATTTAAGATTTTTAAACCTGCTTTTACAAGTTTATAGTTTTGTTATAGTTTTATTTAGCCCTATTTCTATGTCCAAATTGTCGTTTTTACGTTAAAATGTGTTTATTGTGGAGTTTATACATTACATAAGTCAATTACGAGTCGTTACTGTGACTAATCCTTAATTATTCAGATGTTTTTGTGGATATTTTAGTGTTTCTCAGATAAAGGTCCTAATGAATAGTGTTTAGATTAAACTTCGGTGATGTTTAAAAGTTTATTTCAGTTGTCACGGTGATGATTTTGGCCAAAGTCCAACCTAAACACAGCTTAAAGCGCTTAAAAACGTTATATTTCCAGCCATTTTCAGTCTTTAAGTTGTCATTAAGCTTTGTAACTAACTCGAGACAATCTTGCATGCATGTTACCGCAGTATTTATCTATATATTTCGCTTTTCGGATGAGTTTTCGTGCTTTAAATTCGATAAATATTGATTTCTTGAGGTAGTTCCGCGCCAAGGATTTCAAAAGTGTTTACCAGCGCGGGACTCCGATCTTGCTTCCGGGGCGCCAGCTCAGAACGCGCGCTGATTGGCCGCGCGTCGCGCAAATAGGCGGGACTAATAGCTGTGTTGAGCTCTGATTGGCCGAAAAGGCGAATATAGGCGGGATTACGTAGACAGTTGAGCGCGCTGATTCGACGGAGTTTACGTCTATTACCGCCAAGATTAGTCTCGGTAATAACAGTGTGTTTTATTAGATTATTACGAAAATAAATATGTAATTTCTATATTTTATTTTATTATATTTAATTTAGCAAAATATTAATTAATTTTTGTTTGCTTTTTTTTTTTTTTTTTTTTAATCACAGCAAGTTTGTGTTTATAAATTGTCTCGTAAAAGTAAAGTTACCACACGACAACGGTTAAATAATAATTAATTTACATTATTAACAATACTTAAGTTTAATTTTTTAACACATTAAAGCTTAGTTTGGCGAGTTTTAGTTCTGGTATTAAATATTTTGAGTGTTTACTAATAACTTTAATTGTTTAGTTGAATTGAAATTTCGACAATCACATTTTGTATTAATAATAATCAGTTTTTGTTATATTAGTCAAAAACACGTTAAATTATAAGGCATTACTTAAAGGTGCGTTGCGTAACTTGATGAATTGCATTGCGTAACCATGGAGATGCTACTACTTTGCCTGTAATGTTCCACAATATTGTATTAAAGTTATATAAGATGCATTTTTTTCAATTGTGGGTGTTTTTATTGCTCAAAAATACCTTTAAAAACACGCGTTCTTATTGTGAGCGGGGGTCGCCTCTTCGCAGATCTCACCTGTAAATTGTCCTCCTGCTTGTTTGTGTGGAGACTGAAAAGTTTAATGCTGTATTTTGGAATATTGGAGGAAACGAGTAACTGTTGGGCTCTCTACAACAAAAAGTTACACAGTGGAGCTTTAAATTGCCTGCCTTTTTTTGATCATAGTTCAAATTTTTATAACATTCTCATGGTGTGTCCAGTATTTGTTTTATTTTACTAGTTTTAGAAAACGTTTTTGGACCTCCTAAAGTGTTTTTAATGTGTATTTTGGAGGTTTTCAGGTTCTAAAATGCGACATCATACTCTTAAAGGTGCACTGTGTAACTTTTCTGCTACCATGAAGATGTTCTTGAGTTTCCATGGTGATATTAAACTTATCTAACACGCTTAAACAAACCTTAAAAATGAATGGATGTAATTTGTTTTAATACCATACACTGGAATATTCAAGGCACACTATTAAAATATCGTGATATTGTTTTGTCAAAAGTCTCACAATAATATCATGGGGCGTCAAAATTTATCGAATCACAAGTTTTTTTTGCTTAAATGCATTTTTTATAGTAGCAACAGCTTATAAACATCAGAAACTACATTTCCCATGATGCATTTCAGCGCAGACAACATGAAGAAATATATTTTTTACTTGAATTCTTGGGATTATGACGGAAATAATTCCCACCAAATTCTTGTCAAGGTGTTTTAAAAGTAAAAAAAATGTCCTATCTACAATTATATCAGCCCCTTCTTCAAAATATCACAATAAATATCATACGGTGAGATCGATATCGTGATGATATCGTACGGTGAGATTTGGATATCGTTACATCCCGATTACACAGTGCACCTTTGTTGAATGTTGAACCTAAACTTTTCTATTAGTGAAATTACAACAGAAATATACATTTAAACAATATTTAATTTAACTGAAGGTAAATTGTGTGACTTTTTGGTTGTGGGTGGGCAAACTACGGCCCGGGGACCATATGCGGCCCTTTAATCTTTTTAATCCGGCCCACTGAACCTGAATAATAATAATAATGATCATTTTCAGTGTTTTTAAAAGTCAAAAGTCATTTCAATAAATCGTAAATACTGTGGGATTTGAAACAGATATTTTGTTGTGATGATTTGTAATAATTTTTCAATTATGGGACATTTCAATAACATGGGATATTTTTTTTAGAACCCTTTGTGGCCCACGAGTCAAAAAGTTTGCCCACCCCTGGCCTAGAATGTTCCACAGTGTGACTTTAATCTAATTTACATTTATTCAATCACAAGTGTTTTTATTTGGTCAAAAACACCTTGACCTGTAACTTGGTCTGGTTTAAGATCGAAAGGTTTATTGCCGTAATGTGAAAAAAATTCCAGACAAAAAAAGCAAAAATAACATCTCCATCTAGAAAAGCGTTTGAGGGATCCACCACCAGAAAAGTTACGCAATGCAGCTTTAAATACGATTGGACTGACGTGATGTGGCCCCCGGCGTTTCAGTTTCATTACGTAATTTTCTTGTTTTGTGTTCGGCGAAGGCTCCGTCTGCACATGAAAGGGTCTGACGGTGTTGAAAGTGAACTGTCCCCCCCAGTGTCTGACCTCTGACCTCTGACCCCGGGGTGTGGTCAGTTTCTCTGTTGTGAGAGAGAGAGAGAGAGAGGGGGGGGGGGAGGAGGAGGAGGAGGAGGAGGAGGAGGAGGGGCAGTGCACTTGAATCCATGTGTCATTCGTCCTTTTGTTTTTCAATATAAAACCAAAAATAAGAAAATGAAGAAACAACTGTTTTCTTCATTATTTGTCTCCAAAACCAAAATGAAAAAACAGATAATGATTTGTTTTTTCAGTTTTCGATTTTGTGTTTAAATGAAAAATGGAAAAAACAGATAACGACCGTTTCCCGTTTACGTGACTTTCATGACTGCGATGCCGGACTGAACCAGGACTGAACCAGGTCCGGGACCAGACTGGAACCAGATCAAGACCTGGACCAGACTGAGACCGAGACTGAGACCAAGACTGAGACCAGGCCGAAACCAGGCCGGGACCAGACCAGGACCAGACCAGAGGCTCAGAACTCAGGGCAGGAGCTCGAAGCTGAGGCTCGGAGTCAAAGCTCGAGGTCCACTCTGGTCCTGGTCCCGGACCTGGAACAGTCCTGGTTCAGTCCAACATCACAGTCACTGAAGTCACGTAAACGGGAAACGTCCGTTATCTGTTTTTTCCATTTTTCATTTAAACACAAAATCGAAAACTGAAAAAAAAACAAATCATTATCTGTTTTTTTCATTTTGGTTTTGGAGACAAATAATGAAGAAAACTGTTGTTTTTTCATTTTCTTATTTTTGGTTTTATATTGAAAAACGAAAGAACGAACGTTACACAGATTCACTTGGTCCGTCTGGTTTTGTTTAAGATCTGAAGAGTCTCACTTTACAATCAAACCAATCAGACCAAAATTAGATTAAAGCTCCAATATTACACAGAATTGACTCTTGTTGAGCTTTAAGACATGTTAAAATGTTTTTTTTACCTCCTCAAAAACAGACCTGGAGTTGTGTTTTGTTTGAGTAACGCTTTATCTCTAGTCTGGCTACATATCGATGTATCGTATCGTTTAATGTGATGACACAGTATCGATATCGCAGGCTGCTGTATCGATATATCACCAAGAGTATTTTTTTGGTACATTTTACTAAATTATTTTGTTACAGAGCTTCTGTTTTGTGGGAGGAAACTGGTTTATGTGACACATTTGACATTTTCACTGTTTTGCCGAGTAAAATGGACGTGTGTCTGTGTCATTCAGTTTTAATTCAGTTTTGATCGCGATTTTGATGTGTGTGTCAAATGATCTCCAGACTCATATAACTGAGCTGAAATGACTTAACACAGTTTATTTTGGGATATTTTTGATATAAATAAGTATATTTATTCTATTTTTAAATAGATTGTAGAACAGCTGGATATATTGTTTATAGGGATGTAAAAATAACCGAAATATGGTGATATCGTATCGTCAAAGTTTTCACAGTAATATCGTGGACAATATATCGAATTACATTATTAGCTAAAAAAAAGACCAGAGGGAACTACATAGACCATGATCCTTTGCTCCATTTCAGTGCAGATACAAGAAGAAATAACAATTCTAACACTTTAAAGTCTTTGGATTAAGTTTTGTCAAGGCATTTTAAGAGGAAAAAGCACAAAATATCTCAATAAATATTGTGCCGTGAGATGTGGATATTGTTATATTGATATAGTTTATTTTGGACACATTTATGTTTTTCTGCTTTATTTCATGTTCAAAGTTTATTTTATTAATTTTATGTTTTATACATCACAAAACTTTTTTCACAAGACTTTTACAAACATGTTCTGAAATGCCTGGGATTCTCAGATGACTCTTTTCTCGAACCTTAAAGCTCCTGAGCAGGTTTAAAGTTTGACCTGTGAACTGAATGTTGTTCCTTATTTTCTGTTTTGTTTTTTCCAGGATGTCGCCTTGTTAGTCCCGTGGGTTGAACAGCCGTGAGTTTACACCATGGGTCCGCTGACCACTCCCAAGAAAGGGGTCGAGGGTCACTGCGTCGACCCCTGGACCCCCACGTCCAACCTGAAGATCCTGATCAGCGCCGCCAGCCCCGAGATACGCAACCGCGAGAAGGAGCGCACCCTAGAGGAGGCCGAGGGGAGCTGCAGACAGGTACGCGGGGACTTTACTCTGCGATAAATGAGAATTTAGATTCAGTGCTGGTTTTGATATCGATTAGTGTCAGATTCTCTACATTTTGTCAGACCTGGAGCATCTTTCAGTTTTCTTTTGTCTTACCTGCTGGTGTGTTTCTCATATTGACTTTTGTGTTTGTTTTCAGGATGCAGAGGAGGTGGAGGAGGGGGAGAGGATGACCAGCAGAAAGGACAAAAGTCTGGGGCTCCTCTGTCAGAAGTTTCTGGAAAGATTTCCAGATTATCCAGATCCAGAAAAAGATCACGACATCAGCCTGGACGACGTGGCCTCAGAGCTCAGTGAGTCCTGCTCTGACACACGGACTTATAATAGTCACATTTCTATATAAATACACTCTGTGTACGACTTTATAAATACACTGTACTACTGACACGGTGTTCAGACAGTGGAAGAGTGTGTCCCTCTCAGGTCAAACAGGAGTCATGATTCATTTGTGTCATTCTCCAGCTGTGTTCATCCATCTTATTATCTCAACACCACAACTGAAACAGGAAAACTACCCAGTCTATAAGTCACATTTATGGAGGGAAATTTATTTTATAAAATCAGAAATCAAAGAGGTTTGACTTTGGATAAAAGCCACAAATGATAAAGACTTGATTTTAAAACACCATTGATCTGTTTGTCAAATTAAAATCACTGTCTAAGGCGACGCTGAGGTTGGTGACTGTGGGACAAACATTAGTTTTGAGGCATCCCACATCAATGATCAGACTAAACTGGAGCTTGATATTACCAAACCAACATTTGAAGTTTATTGTATATAAATTTGTATTTCTGATTCTTAGTGTTAAATCGCCAAAAAATGCATAATGAAGAAGAAAAAACATATAAGTCGCATTTCCTGTGTAAAGTGAAGTTGTAGTAAAACCAATAGAAGAGAACAACAGACAGTTAACAGTTAATGTCACATTTGAACAGTTCTTCAGATAAATATAACATAAAGAACAGAACAAGTTTACCAAACTCTCCATCTCACTCCAAATCTCTAAATCCATTCAATTCTTCGTCCTCGATGTCACTTCTGACCAACTCTGTCAACTCAGTTTAATCAGTCTTTTAACCCACGATGACGTTTTTTTTTTCTTGCAGTTTGAGTTTCCTCCACTTTTCTCCAGCCCCTCACAAGTTTCTCTCTCACTCCAGACTTTCTTTCTGCTGCTCAATTTCCGTTTTCGGCTTATTTGCCGCTTTATCTCCGTGTGATAAAATAAGTTCTGATGCTAAATGAACATTAGTGAGGGGGATACATCTTCAAGAGTGAGTGCGGAAATGACGAGAAGAAACCTCTCAAATTTCAGTAGCCACACATCCGCTCACACCTGATCCACACACCTATCCCCGCCCCTTGAGAGTCTGAAATCTGCTGAAATCCTCCAAGACACTGACATGATCCAGACAGGACAGAGGCTCTTTCTGCAGGAGACATGTGCAGTAGAGCCAAGTGACATTATATCTTTAAATATACAAGTCATACCTGAGTATAAGTCACGGGAAACACCCAAACCGTGAAAAAAAGGGCAACTTATAGTCTAAAAAATACAGTAGTTGTGTTGTTGTTTTGTGTATTTGGACACTGACTGAACTCACTCGGCCAATGTCCCTGTGGTTTTTGTTTTTGGAAGCTGAAGGCACAGATCAGTCACTGAGGAGACGAGTGAATGAAAAATGCATGAAAGAATGAAACTCTGAGCGTCTAGAGAAGCACCAGACACTCGTGTTATTCCACATCCAATGCACAAATATTTAATAAAAACATCGCCTTATCACCAAAAAATAATGTTCTGTTTAAAATGTTCTCCTGTGTTCGTCAGACGTGGAGCGGCGGCGGATCTACGACATCATGAACGTCCTGGAGAGCCTTCACATGGTGAGCCGCTCGGCCAAGAACCGCTACAGCTGGCACGGGCGCTCCAAGCTGGCACAGACGCTGTTCGTGCTGCGGCGGGCGGGCGAGGAGCAGGGCTACAGGCTCCAGATGCAGCAGATCAGACAGAAGAGCCACGAGGACGACGAGGGAGGAGCCGAGGATAAAGAGAACCGGGAGAACCGGGAGAACCAGGAGAAGAGGGGGCAGCAGAGGGGAGACTCGGCCCAGGACGGAGGGACGAAGGGCGGGCAGCAGCAGCAGAGCAAAGAGCTGTGCTTCGTGGAGCTGCCGGGGGTCGAGTTTAAAGCAGGTGAGGCTGGTTTTAAGATAAGATAAAACAAGACTTATTTATTTGTTTATTGTTTTTATCTACTTTATTTATTTATAGTTTTATTTATTTTATTTTTTTTATTTATTTATTTTATTTTATGTTTTTTATTTATTGTTTTTATCTATTTTTTTTTTAATCTATTTTATTTAATTATTTATAGTTTTTATCAGTGTTATTTATTTTTTTATGTATTGTTTTTATCTATTTTATTTTATGTTTTTTTATTTATTGTTTTTATCTATTTTATTTATTTTTTTATTTATTGTTTTTATTTATTTATTGTTTTTATCTATTTTATTTATTTTTTTTTTTAGTACTGCTTTTATGTATTGATTTTATTATTTTATTTATTTATCTATTAGTTTCCTTTAAGGTTGAAACATAATTCTGCAGAATTTTTTTATTTTTTTAAGTAAAATGTTTTGCATCGTTATGTGAAGCGCTTTGGAAAATGTCTTTTTCATTTTTATAAAATGTGCTCTACAAATAAAGTTGGATTGAAGACTGAAGATGGGACTGAACCAGGACTTGACTGGGACTAGACTGAGACCTGACCAAGACTGAACCAGCAGAGAGACCAAGACTGGACAAAAACAAAACCTGGTCTGGCCAACGACTAAACCATGAGAGCAAGATGAACCACGACTATACCAGGACCAATCCAATCCACTTTATTTATATAGCACATTTCATAAACAGTTTCCAAAATGCTGCAAAAATACAAAGTAATATCAACAATAATAATATAATGATCAAATAAACGCTCAGATTTAATCACACTAGTCTTGAAACAATTAAACCAGCAAAATAAAATAAGAGCAAAACCACAGAATAGCACTGAATAAATAAATAAAACCAATATAATAAATTAAAAATAAATAAAAGACACAGAGACAGAGACACAAACTCACGCGGTGTTAAAACCCAGAGAGTAAAACCTCTCCTCTGTGGGGCTGTTGGGACGTGGGGGGGCAGGGTGTTCCAGAGTTGGGGGCTGGTCAGATAAAAAAAGGTTTCAATTTGGATAAAAGCCGCAAATCATAATTTAAAAAAAAGATTTTAAAATGGATCTGTTTGTCAAATTTAAAATCACTGTCTAAGGCGACGCCGAGGTTGGTGACTGTGGGACAAACATTATTTTGAGAAATCCCACATCAATAATCAGACTAAACTACAGATAGATTTGACCAAAACAACATTTGAAGTTTATTGTATATAAGTTTGTTCTGATTTTTAGTCTTAGTCTTGGGTTAAAAGTAAAAAATATATATATATTTGTTATATTTTCACATATCTATGGAAGCCCATTTCCGTCAGTAAATTAAAAATAAAAGTCTCACAGAAAGTCATAATTATGAGTTTAAAAGCCATAATTACGAGTTTAAAAGCCATAATTACGAGTTTAAAAGCCATAATTACCAGTTTAAAAGCCATAATTACCAGTTTAAAAGCCATAATTACCAGTTTAAAAGCCATAATTACCAGTTTAAAAGCCATAATTATGAGTTTAAAAGTCATTATTACGAGTTTTCGAAGTTGACTCTGAACCTGCTCTCTTCATGCCAACTCGTGGGCAGGTGCGACCATTTTCCTGGAGAAGCCGTGTATGAATTCACTACAAGTAAAAAATGTGTTGTGTAGTTTTACTAATTCACTTCACACTGTATCTAAATTATTTGCTATTTGCCCATATTTTCATCACTGAGTAACTCGAAGTATCCTGTGCCAAATGTCCTGCAAAACTCAGCAATTCCCGACCAGGGCCAAAAGACCAGGTCCACCACAGAGACAAAGGTTCTTCATTCTCCCGTTTAGATGAAACCAGCTCCATGGACGGAGGAGCAGAGATGGACTCTTTGTGTAATGTGGGATTTGTGTGGATCTTTCTCTCTTTCTTGTCTTTTTACAACATTCACAAGTTAAAGGAGCGATGTGGAGACGACCTGAACACCTGGAGAAAATGACCAGGAAAATGACCGTGTGCTTCCATGACAAGGGCAGATTCAGAGTCAACTTTAAAACTCATAATTATGGCTTTTAAACTCGTAATTATGGCTTTTAAACTCGTAATTATGACTTTTAAACTCGTAATTATGGCTTTTAAACTCATAATTATGACTTTTAAACTCGTAATTATGGCTTTTAAACTCGTAATTATGGCTTTTAAACTCGTAATTATGACTTTTAAACTCGTAATTATGGCTTTTAAACTCGTAATTATGGCTTTTAAACTCATAATTATGGCTTTTAAACTCGTAATTATGGCTTTTAAACTCGTAATTATGACTTTTAAACTCGTAATTATGGCTTTTAAACTCGTAATTATGGCTTTTAAACTCATAATTATGACTTTTAAACTTAATTATGACTTTTAAACTCGTAATTATGACTTTTAAACTCATAATTATGGCTTTTAAACTCAAATTATGGCTTTTAAACTCATAATTATGACTTTTAAACTCGTAATTATGGCTTTTAAACTCATAATTATGACTTTTAAACTCGTAATTATGACTTTCTGTGAGGCTTTTATTTTTTATTTACTGGCAGAAATAGGCTTCCATATAAATCAGCCTAAAAGCTGCTGTGGTTCACCTCCGAGACACTAAAGGACGGGTCAAATGCAGAGGACACTTTTCTCTACGGGGACAGAACAGTCTGACTCTAATATCCCATGATCCTCTGTGTTTGCTCAGCGTCGGTGAACAGTCGGAAGGACAAGTCTCTGCGCGTCATGAGTCAGAAGTTCGTGATGCTGTTCCTGGTGGCGCGCCCCCGTGTGGTCAGTCTGGACGTGGCGGCTCAGATCCTGATCGGAGAAGACCACGGAGAGGCCCAGGACAAGAACAAGTTCAAAAGTGAGAGCAAAATGGGATTCTTGGATTTATTTAAAGTTCAGATGCTCGTGCTCTGACCGTCTCCTCTGCTCTGTTTAAATGTGTTTTTTTTTTTTAATTTGTTTTGTTTGTTTATTTCAGCTAAAGTTCGGCGTTTGTACGACATCGCTAACGTGCTGCGGAGTCTGAACCTGATCGAGAAGGTCCACGTGACGGAGGAGCGCGGGAGGAAACCTGCGTTTGAGTGGGTGGGGCCAGAGGAGTTCCAACAGGTCAAAGGTGAAGAGCAACAACACATTCTGGGTTTTTATATTTAGATGATGACGACAGAAATCTCATTCTCATCAGAAGTTACATTAACCAAGAATTCAGTGGAGGCTTTAGTTTTTTTTCATTCTGAAGGTGGTTTGTCATTTTAGCAGTAGGACTCGGTGATACGGCCAAAAAATTAAATCCTTTTCAATAAATTTTTTCCTGGTGTTGGAGTGTGGGGAAGCACTTCACATTTTATTCTTTTCATATTCTATTATTTAAAGGTTGTATAGAGGATTTTTTTAAGGAAAGAGAAATCCAGCGACAGTCCTTTTTCAAGTGTAGTGCATGTGTGACACCACCTTCCTCCTCCACAGCCTCTAGAAATAATTTAGAGACCGACACCTCAGTTTTTAGAAACCCTTCGTCTGCTTCAGTCGCGCCATCGCTGGAAGGAATCTCCAAGAATCACCTCAGTTTGTCTTCTCTCCTTTTCTTCTTTCAGCGACCTCAAAAACGGACTTTCTTTTGCGGCGAACTGGTCGTCGATTCTCGTCCGACATCGCAACAAACTTTAGGCGAACTGCGAGAGCCACAATTAGAAAAAGCCTCTAAGACCCGCTGCATAGTTACCTTAGAAACGTAGGGAGTTTGATTGACAACCTGACAGCCAATAGAAAATGAGGCAGCCTCGTTTTCTATTGGCCGATGTTTATCTGGCCTCAACACGTCCACAGTTGATAGATTTTCTTTCTTTTTTTTTTTTTTGGTCATCATAATTACAAGGCTGCTGCGTCTCTGTAATGGTGTTTTAAACTTTCACTGACAATTTGAAACAAACAAAAAATCCTCCATACAACCTTTAAGAAATGAATGTCTTCAGTTACATTTGACATTATGTGATATAATTTAATTAATTTAATAATAATAATGCATTAGTCTTATACAGCGCTTTTCCAGATAGAGTCAATTTACAGTTTTGTGCATTATTCATTCACTCTGCACTCGGTGGTGGTAAAACACTATTGTAGCCACAGCTGCCCTGGGACAGACTGACAGAAGTGAGGCTGCCAATCTGCACCATCAGCCCCTCCAAACACCACCACACACACACACACACACACACCTCATTTATACTTGTCAGTGTGGGTGACACAAGGACAGTTTTGCCACTTGTGCTCCACCGTGGACCCTGGTTTTCTCAGTGGTCTCCCGTCCGAGTCCAGACCAGGCCCAGTCCTGACGAGAGGCTTTGACCTGGAGATTTGGCCCCAAAATTAAATTAGAATGAGTTTTTTTGTTTTTTTTTAATATCAATTGTTTAATTGCACCATAACTCTGCTTTACAAGTCAGAAAATTCTGAGTAAACTTTCATAATTTCATAGTTTCATAATAATTCTGAATTTTCCTAGTCAGGCTGGCGCCACCTAGTGTCTCTGCTCAATTTAATTTCTCTCCAGTGACTATGTCAGGAATCAGAATACACTAGACTTCGCAAAAACACCGGAAGTGTGAGTTCGGGCACCAGCCAATCAAGAGAAAAGCCAGACATTCTGTGTATCTCGAGGATTTAAAGATGAAACAAAGAGAATGTTTGGTGAACTTTATCAAGGGGAAAGACGTTATTGTCCTTCTTCCTACGGGCTTTGGGAAAAGCTTAATATACCAGTTAACCCCGTTAACATTGAATATGTCACGACCAAACAGCAGCGATTGGTTAAATTAAAAAAAAAAAGTACCTGTCTACTGTCATGCGAATGAATCCTAATGCTGTGAGGTCAGATGGATTCTAGGAAGTGAAACCAGCCAATGAATCAGACTAGGATTTCCCCTCCATTGAAGCTCTGTGAAGCCCCTGCCCTTGTGTTGCAGATGTTTAACTCTGGTGTTGTGTTCCAGATGTGGAGGTGAAACCAGAGAAGAGTAAAGTCCTCTCCTCTCAATCGTCGAAGGAAAACTGCTCCAAAAACCTGTTCTCAAACAAACGCAGCTTCACCAGACACCAGTCGCTCATGAAACTGGCCCAGAGCATCCAGGAGGACCGCAGGAGGGTGAACAGCGCCCCCAGCAGCCCCGCCAAGGACACTGCAGGTCAGAGCACTCACGGCTTCACATTCATGTTCTGGACTTTGATGATGTCGCCGTTTCAGGTGGAGGGCAGGGACCTGTTGATACTTGGCGCTGACACCACAGTGGGGGTGTTTGTTTTAAGATAATCTGAAAAAAAAAAACAGAAAATGGATTTAAACAGCAGATTTTCAGGAGCCTGTGATCGATACAGGTGTTTATGGTTTTGTTTAGGAGACACTGAACTTTGTGCCATGTTTAGTTTAATCTGGGATAGACCTGGTAATTACTAAACTAGGACTAAACCCAGACTAAACCAGGTCAACTAATCTAACAGTTACACAACCAGTAAACTCCACCTGAGAGTTCTGGCCTGTCTCCAGAGCTTATGTCACAGGTGTCAAACATACGGCCCGGGGGCCAGATCCGGCCCTCCAAGACCTTTAATGTGGCCCACGGTTGATTTTCTACTAAAATATTTTAATTATATTTCTTATTAAAATCTTGTTAATTTTCTGTGGTGTTTATCACAGCAGCGTCTCCAGCGTCTCTGTACGTGGCCCCTCCCACCAGAGCAGCACAAATGAAGACTTGTCTCTTTCCAAACGCTCTTAAAGGACGATCGTTTTGACTGTTGACCGTGACACCCTCATCAGAAAAATGTCCAACATGAGAAAAGTGGAGCCAAGTGCAGGATTTTGCAACAAAAATGGACTTATTCCTGTTTACAGACAAGTTCATGTTCAAACATTGTGTTGAAATTATATTTTTCTTAAAGTTTCAGGTTGTTCATAATATTATAATATTTTGTTAAAAAAAAAAAAAAAAAAAGAGTTCATCAATTAAAAAAGATTTCTGTAATAGATTTGTGTTTCTCTGCACAAATATTTTAACTTATTGTTATTTTTGGGGTTTATATGACATGAGTTTTCTGATCCGGCCCCTTTGGATCAAAGTCGGTTGGATTCGGCCCCCGGACCAAAATAAGTTTGACACCCCTGGCTTATGTTGTGTATCTTTATTCACCTCTTGGTCTCTCTTCTTTGTGCAGGTGACTCCAGAGTGGACTTCCCAAACAAAATGGCTCAGCTCGCCGCCATCTGTAAACTCCAACTGGACCACGAGTCTTCGGGGTCAGTTCGTAATTTCCTTTTTCACGAGTTAATTGAAGAAACAGATTTTGAGTAACAGTTCTCTGGTCTGTAACTAGTCGGTCTGTCGTCCTTTAGTTTTTTAGACTCGAGCGAACTACACTGAAACTCTTCTAGTTGTTCTTAAGAAGTGTGTAGAATCCACAGCAAGAGGAGAAAGTAAATTTGTCAACTGGACATTCAGTCCGTGTGTCATTTGTTTATTCTTTTTTCAATATAAAATTATAAATAAGAAAATGAAAAAACAACAATTTTCTTCATTATTTGTCTCCAAAACCAAAATGAAAAAATGGATAAAGATTGTTTTTTTTTGGTTTTTTTTGGGTTTTTTTTCAGTTTTTCGATTTTGTGTTTAAATGAATAATGAAAAAAACAGATAACGGACTGAACCAGGTCTAAACCAGGTCTAAACCAGGACTAAACCAGGACTAAACCAGGTCTAAACCAGGACTAAACCAGGTCTAAACCAGGACTAAACCAGGTCTAAACCAGGACTAAACCAGGTCTAAACCAGGTCTAAACCAGGTCTAAACCAGGTCTAAACCAGGTCTAAACCAGGACTAAACCAGGTCTAAACCAGGACTAAACCAGGACTAAACCAGGACTAAACCAGGTCTAAACCAGGTCTAAACCAGGTCTAAACCAGGTCTAAACCAGGTCTAAACCAGGTCTAAAACCAGGTCTAAACCAGGACTAAACCAGGACTAAACCAGGTCTAAACCAGGTCTAAACCAGGTCTAAAAACCAGGTCTAAACCAGGACTAAAACCAGGACTAAACCAGGTCTAAACCAGGTCTAAACCAGGACTAAACCAGGACTAAACCAGGACTAAACCAGGACTAAACCAGGACTAAACCAGGTCTAAACCAGGACTAAACCAGGACTAAACCAGTCTCAGTCCTGGTCTGGTCCTGGTCTCAGTCCTGATCACCTGACAGTCTACACAGGTGCACCTTGAGGCCCGTCCCGATACTAGTCCTGATTTAGGACTGAGACCAGGACCGGACCAGGACTAGAACTGAGAATGGGACTAAGACTGGTTTAGTCCTTGTAGACCTGTTTGTAGTCCTGATTTAGACCTGGTTTAGACCTGGTTTAGTCCTGGTTTAGACCTGGTTTAGTCCTGGTTTAGACCTGGTTCTGGCATCTCAGTTTAAGTCACGTGAAAACTGAAAAAAACAAATCTTTATCCATTTTTTCATTTTGGTTTTGGAGACAAATAATGAAGAAAATAGTTGTTTTTTCATTTACTTATTTTTAGTTTTATTTTGAAAAACGACAGATCACAAACATTTATTTAGGTTGAACACTTTTCGTATCTCGTCCAAGCTGCTTCTGGTCAGACGTTGGTGCTGGTTTTATTTACGCTGTTTCTTCGTGTTTCAGGTCTAAAGCGTCTGAACCCGCCCAGGCCTCGTTCCCTTTGACCCCCGTGACCCCGGCGACCCCCCTGACCCCCCTCATCCCCGTCCTGCTGCAGCGGCAGGAGGCGGCGAGGGGCGGGGCTTACGCCGTGTACGTCCCGCCCCCGTCGCTGCGAGCCGTGACGCGCCCCCAGCCCACCAGCCTCGCCGTGCGCTCCATGACCTTCGACAGTCCCACCGCCGTCAAACGCCACGGCGGCGAGCAGCCGGACGCCAGCCCGTCCAAAACCAAGAGGACGGACCACGGCTTCAAGGTAACGCTGACCTCCTCTGCGTCATCTGACCCTCTGACCTGCTGACCCTCTCCTCTCACCCGCTGACCCTCTCCTCTGACCCGCTGACCCTCTCCTCTGACCCGCTGACCCTCTCCTCTGACCCACTGACCCTCTCTCTGACCCTGACACCACTGACCCTCTCACCCACTGACCCTCTCCTCTGACCCTCTCTCTGACCCTCTCACTGACCCTCTCCTCTCCCTCTGACCCACTGACCCTCTCCTCTGACCCTCTCTGACCCTCTCCTCTGACCCACTGACCCTCTCCTCTGACCCTCTCTCACCCTGACCCTCTGACCCTGACCCTCTCCTCCCTCCTCTGACCCTCTCCTCTGACCCTGACCCTCTCCTCTGACCTCATCTGACCCTCTCACCCTGACCCTCTCCTCTGACCCTCTCCTCTGACCCACTGACCCTCTCCTCTGACGACCCTCTCCTCTGACCCTCTGACCCTCCCTCTGACCCTCTCTCCTCCTCTGACCCTCTCCTCTGCCATCTGACCCTCTGTCTCCTCTGACCTCTCCTCTGACTCCTCTGACCTCTCCTCTGACCTCTCCTGCTCCTCTGACCCTCTCCTCCTCCTCTGACCCTCTCCTCTGACCCTCTCCTCTGACCCTCTCCTCTGACCCTCTCCTCTGACCCTCTCCTCTGACCCTCTCCTCTGAGCCTCTCCTCTGCATCGTCTGCTCCTCTGACCTTCTGACCCTCTTCTCTGACCCACTGACCCTCTTCTCTGCGTCATCTGCTCCTCTGACCCTCTCCTCTGACCCACTGACCCTCTCCTCTGACCCACTGACCCTCCTCTGCATCATCTGACCCTCTCACCCACTGACCCTCTCCTCTGACCCTCTCCTCTGTGTCATCTGCTCCTCTGACCCTCTCCTCCTCCTCTGACCCTCTCCTCTGCATCGTCTGCTCCTCTGACCCTCTCCTCTGCGTCGTCTGCTCCTCTGACCTTCTGACCCTCTTCTCTGACCCTCTTCTCTGACCCACTGACCCTCTTCTCTGCGTCATCTGTTCCTCTGACCCTCTCCTCCTCTGCTCCTCTGACCCCCACATTTAAAAAAAAAATCTCTTTGTTCTTCCTCTAGACCTCACCATGCTTCTATTCACTCTCCCTCCTCTGCACCAAAGCTCTACACTAACTCTTTTTTTCAACAGCACACGTGCCTCTAAGTAAAACATTTTAGGAGCACAGAAAAACAAAATCGGGGGCACACGCAGGTTCAAGATCAAGTCCAGAACTTTCACACACCAACACCAACTCACCTGAATGAATTTTATTTTTTCTGACTGTACTTTTCCTGCGTGACGCTGGTGTTGGGTTAGACCAGGGGTGGGCAAACTATGACCCTGGGACCTTTAATCGTTTTAATCCAGCCCCCCCAACTTTAATAATAATAATAATGATGATAATGATAATAATGATAATGATGATAATAATAATAATGATAATAATAATAATGATAATTTTCAGTGTTTTTAAAAGTCATTTCAATAAATAGTAAACACTGTGGGACTTGAAAAACAGATATTTTGTTGTAATGATTTTCAATGATGGGACATTTCAATATTTTCAAATTTTTTTTCTCTTATGAGGTGGATTAGCAAAACACTCCATCCATCTGCTCCTGGTCCAGCCCTTCTGCCAAATTTTACAACTCTGTGTGGCCCACAAGTGAAAACATTTGCCCACCCCTGGGTTAGACCCTTGAGTCGTGGATCTGCCTGAGGTTTTCTTCCTACAGATTAACATAAAACTGAACTACAAACACAACAAAAGTCATGTCATAATCAGTAGGCCAGGATTTTGTCATTAGGTCAACGTGAGCTCTTCTACGTCCTGCACTCACACCTTCACAACCGAACTGTACCACAGCTCAGTGACGTCATCACGCGGCGCTGATTTAGTGGAGAAAATAAGTCCAGCGGCAGAAATATCTATTGAATAATGAGACAGATGTGAGTTCTTTTATGATACACGTTCCTCTGTGAGTTTATGGAGATAAAAAGGAGATGAGAGGCTGCAAAGCTTTTGTCACCGTCCACAGTCCTTTTTGAACATAAGTGTGAATTTGCCATGTGTTTTGTGTTTTCCTCGTATAAGTAACATCATAAGTGAGTTTCATTGTTGACAAAAGCGTGCGTTTCATGCTGGGAATTAATTTGGTCGGCGGCAATAAACACTAATTCAACATGACGGACGGAGCGAGAAAGCACGTAAAGGGTATTGATCCTGGTTATTTATCCAGTCTAACGGCAGAGGACCCAAGACCATTTGACCAGAAATTGGTCATAAACATCGACGGACGACAAATCACCCTTTTCAACCCCGACAGAGTCTGGACCAAACCAAACTTCTGGTCAGAATCTCCAACTACCTGGACAAATATTCACTTGGGCGACATCCACAATGACTTGGTGGAAACTCCTGGGCCATTCACAGCAGAAAAGATGAAAACCTCCAAGAGTCTGGATGTGTTGTTGAACTTGTTGAGTCCAGGTTTGTTAGGATCTTCTACGTTTGCTCTGCGGATGTTTGAAAGTCGTTTAATTCACCGTTAGTGGTTCTTTTTACTCAGAATACGAAAAAGACATTTTCCTTCTTCCGTGCTTCTATTTGTGCGTCCGATAATGCAGCAGGAGTTTAACCATTATCGGGGATAAATACGCGAAGGTTACACACTGTGTTTGACGCTACCGTGTTTCTTGCCTCTGACCAAAATATTTCCCAGCAGCAACGCCGGCTTTTAATAACAATGACGTCAGCTCAAACTCGCCTGTTGTAAAGTCCTGTGTGCTCGTATATGAGCGACGGTGCCGAACTTTGGCCCATCAACCGGGCCAAAGCCTCAGCCAAGTGCACACTCTGTGTACGATCTGTACTTGGTCACAGTCCTAAAGTCCTAGTGTGAGTGCAGCCTTAATGTTTGATAGATTTTAGAAGGTTTAACTCTTCACATCACGTTTGTGTGCAGGGCTCTTCTTATTGTGCGTCTGTTTTGTTTTCCTCGTTCACATGCCGAAATATTTGCTCATAAATGCGAGTAAAATGTGGCACAGTAGAGCCCTGGAGTGTACTCTGTACTACTCTGTACTCACTCTGTACTACTCTGTACTCACTCTGTACTCACTCTGTACTCACTCTGTACTACTCTGTACTCACTCTGTACTACTCACTCTGTACTCACTCTGTACTACTCTGTACTCACTGTACTACTCTGTACTCACTCTGTACTCACTCTGTACTCACTCTGTACTACTCTCTGTACTACTCTGTACTCACTCTGTACTCTCTGTACTCACTCTGTACTACTCTGTACTACTCTGTACTCACTCTCTGTACTCACTCTGTACTACTCTGTACTCTGTACTCTGTACTCACTCTGTACTCTCTGTACTCTGTACTACTCTGTACTACTCTGTACTCTCTCTGTACTCACTCTGTACTCTGTACTCACTCTGTACTCACTCTGTACTCACTCTGTACTACTCTCTGTACTCACTCTGTACTACTCTGTACTACTCTGTACTCACTCTGTACTACTCTGTACTCACTCTGTACTCACTCTGTACTCACTCTGTACTACTCTGTACTCACTCTGTACTCACTCTGTACTACTCTGTACTCACTCTGTACTCACTCTGTACTCACTCTGTACTCTCTGTACTCTGTACTACTCTGTACTCACTCTGTACTCACTCTGTACTACTCTGTACTCACTCTGTACTACTGTACTACTCTGTACTCTGTACTCACTCTGTACTACTCTGTACTCACTCTGTACTACTCTGTACTACTCTGTACTCACTCTGTACTACTCTGTACTCTCTGTACTCACTCTGTACTCACTCTGTACTCTCTGTACTACTCTGTACTCACTCTGTACTCACTCTGTACTCACTCTGTACTCTGTACTCTGTACTCACTCTGTACTCACTCTGTACTACTCTGTACTCTCTGTACTCTGTACTCTCTGTACTCACTCTGTAACTCACTCTGTACTACTCTGTACTCACTCTGTACTACTCTGTACTGTACTCACTCTGTACTCACTCTGTACTCACTCTGTACTACTCTGTACTCACTCTGTACTCACTCTGTACTACTCTGTACTCACTCTGTACTCACTCTCTGTACTCACTCTGTACTCACTCTCTGTACTACTCTGTACTGTACTCACTCTGTACTCACTCTGTACTCACTCTGTACTCACTCTGTACTCACTCTGTACTCACTCTGTACTACTCTGTACTCACTCTGTACTACTCTGTACTACTCTGTACTCACTCTGTACTCACTCTGTACTCACTCTGTACTACTCTGTACTCACTCTGTACTCACTCTGTACTCACTCTGTACTCACTCTGTACTACTCTGTACTACTCTGTACTCACTCTGTACTCACTCTGTACTACTCTGTACTCACTCTGTACTCACTCTGTACTACTCTGTACTCACTCTGTACTCACTCTGTACTACTCTGTACTCACTCTGTACTCACTCTGTACTCACTCTGTACTACTCTGTACTACTCTGTACTACTCTGTACTCACTCTGTACTCACTCTGTACTCACTCTGTACTACTCTGTACTACTCTGTACTCACTCTGTACTACTCTGTACTACTCTGTACTCACTCTGTACTACTCTGTACTACTCTGTACTACTCTGTACTCACTCTGTACTACTCTGTACTCACTCTCTGTACTCACTCTGTACTCACTCTGTACTACTCTGTACTCTCTGTACTCTGTACTACTCTGTACTCACTCTGTACTCACTCTGTACTACTCTGTACTCACTGTACTCACTCTGTACTACTCTGTACTCACTCTGTACTCACTCTGTACTCACTCACTGTACTCACTCTGTACTCTCTGTACTCACTCTGTACTCACTCTGTACTACTCTGTACTCACTGTACTCACTCTGTACTCACTCTGTACTCACTCTGTACTACTCTGTACTCACTCTGT